ACAGTCTGACAAAGGGAAGGGTAAAACTGAATCTGGCACTAACTCTGCAATGCGCTGAACCAGAACTGCAGATCCTGATCCTTCTTTGGGTGGGGTGGAGAGGAGAAGCAGAGGTTTTGAATGCTCAGAACAAAATACTATGATTCAAGACAGTCATTACCAATAATATACCTTCCCAGCTTTCCTCTGTGCTTCCCAGGGAGGAAAGTCTTTTTTGTTCAGTTGTCTGGATAGAAATCTGGAAGCTTCCACATAACTAATGAAGTCTAATATTATCCACCCTAGAGTTTTAACTCTACTCCAAACAGATTTGTTCTGTTTAATACTAATCCCTGAGGTTGTAACACTTTCACTCCTCCTCACTGCCTTAAGCTCTAATGTTGTGGTGCCTTACAGGTTTTGAGTGGTAAACATTTAACAAGGGGAACTCTCTTTTCCTTTGACTTTATTTATGTATTAAGCTACATTCTTCATGTAAATACTTTAACAACAGGAACTGAATTTTCCCCAGAATTTCCTCCCATCTTCAACACTCCTATCCCTGGCACTTGGGCTTCCACTTCTAACCTCAGCAGAGTGACATTTGTGTTGCTAAATAGCACCTTATTCATTCTTGCATTTTGACAGTGGTAACTTAATGTTCAGCAGCTGGTCACCAGTTACTCCCATAAAATGTAATTGGTGAAATTATTGCCTGTGGCAAAGCAAGCTGCTTGTTTTGCTTAAGAGCACCACATATTAATAATGTTAATTATATTTTAGGGCACAACAGGCCAGCTCAGAAGCAAAGCCCTCATATTGTGGCTGTGAAGAAAGTTTACATCCAGACAAGGAAACAGAAAAAACTTCACTTTATCGTGGGTGGCTATGCCTACCTGCTGCTCAAAACCTCTGTTGTCCTCTGGTGCCCAGTGAGAAGGTTCCGTAAATCAATGATCACCTGGGAAAAGGACAACAAACGACTCATCAGCTCTGTTCATGTCACTGTTGCACCATATGGGTACATGAAAATCCACCGTTTGAAGCCTTCAGATGCTGGAACCTACATTTGCACAGCAGGGCCAGCACAGGAACATTTTGTGATTAAACTGATTGGAGGCAACAACAAACTCATCACCCCATCATCTGGGATCAGGGAGGAAGAAGCCATGAGGAAGGCCAATATAAACGAAGCTTTACGTATGCAAGAGAAACATCAGAATGGAATTATCTTTAATGGAAGCAAGGTCGAAAAACGAGGGCATCTTACTGAACCGAGTAGCCAATACGATGAGCTTATCTCAAAGCTCCTGGAGCAGAGATGTTGGCCTGGGGAAAACTTGGAGACGTGGGAAACTCAGGACTCTACAGAGAGAAATGCTTCTTCAGAAGAGGACCAGAGTCAGGAATACAGCCTTCCATTTACCATGGTTGCTGAGCAGAAAATCTTGGATGATATCATCAGGAATTTGTCTCAGCAGCCTGAAGAACTTAAGGATGTCTACACAAAACAACTCATTGTACAGCTGGCCCATGACATTTTCAAGAGCCATTTGGAATATCAGGATTCTATATTCAAAGCACAGGACAGAAGAATCAATTTAGCTTCAGTAGAGTACCCTTTCCACAAACACGTTTCTGGATTCACCAGCTCCTTGAGAACATCGTCTGCTGAAGCACACTTATCCACATCTATAGAGCTGGCAAATGGCTTACAAAGGCCCCATCGAAAGCCTGCTATCCTCAGGAAGATTTCAGCAGCACAGCAACTCTCAGCCTCAGAAGTTGTTACCCATTTGGGACAAACGGTAGTCTTAGCTAGTGGGACACTGAGTGTACTACTTCACTGTGAAGCCATTGGAAACCCAAAGCCTATGATAAGCTGGGCTAAGAATGGAGTGGAGGTGAAATACAATAATAGGTAAAAGAAGTTATTTTAGCTGTAAGCACCAAATGCATTCAGTTCTGCCCTTTTATATTGCCTCTTTATGTGACAAATAGAACTATAGCTAGGTTGCATAGCATGGAAAAGACAAGGTCTACTTGTACATAGCAACAAGCCACACTTTAATTCTGCAGCAAGTCCCTAGATTCTCAGCAATCTGGTCTGGTTGATGAGGGATTCTGCGGTAGATTTATGTAAATTAAAAGAGAGGTTTTCATCTAGTTAATTATGTAAATGATTACTAAAATCAGTACAGTACTCTGAGTTGTTTATGTTAACATTTTTAACTTCCTTGGCTATACAGGTACAGAGTATAACTTTGGTTTGTGGGTAAACACATTTCCTGGATATTTCAGCTACTATCATCAACAGTGAAAGACTGAATTACTAAATTGTCATCTTTAGGTCCAGTTAACCAGTTAAGATGTCTAGAGCAGGTCAGAGGTCTCAGAGCTCTTGGTTTAGGCCCTTTTCATATTTAGATATACATGCAGTTCTCGAACTTGTTTGCTGGTGTGACATCACATCAGATCAAGCATGGTAAAATCAAAACTGATGTCATAAAGTTGAAACAGGGTGTCAATTTGTAAACGCTGTAAGTGCGAAACATTGTAAGTCGAGGACTGCCTGTATGTTAATAAGTCACTTTACTCTTGGTATGCATTTTCAAAGGGTTGGAGTATTACCTGTATTAAAAAAAAAAGTTGACGGAGTACCATTTTTAGCAAGAAGTGGATTGTGTAATTACTGGTGAAGGCCTAGTCTCCACTGCAAAATAGTACTACCTTTGTAACTGTGTTCTAACTGTGGCTAGATTTGCAGAGTACAGGCCTTAGATGTTTTCCATTCCTAGGGGTTGTGTGCAACTGGCTTACAATGTGGTTGCAATATAGTTTCTTACAATCACCAGTTGCCCATTTTTATTATAATAATGTTTAGAAACTGTTCAAACCATAGGAGGAAGACAGTCTTGATCTTAAACATGGTTTCACCTACCTGGCTATTCTCAAAAACTCCTGGGCTGTACTGGAGAACCAGTCTTATTTGACCACTACTGTGTTTGAAAATGGTTGTCAGTCACATTTATGTCTAATGTGGCAGAACCATGTTTGACAGCTATTTTCAACCATCATTGTCATTAGCCCAACCCAATGCTCCACGGTCTTAACCTTCTGCTCTGACTTGATGTATTCTGACATATACAGCAACATTTAAAATGAAGTGATATATCCATAGGTGTTGCCTGAGAACATGTGAAAGAACAAATACCATCCAAGGCTCGGGTGTTAATTTTCTAATTGCTGGAGTGCTTTTATACTTAGTGGGCACATCTACATAAGAGACTGACTGTGCAGTAGCCAAAAAATATTTTGCGGTAGCACATCTCAGCACAGACAGTGCTAATACGCTACGGCACAGTGTTATTAGGCTACTGTGCAGTAGCATCACCCAAAAGACATTCACCAGCCCTACTGCACAGTAACTCCAGTTACTGTGCATTTATTTAGTACTTGTATTAGTACAGCATATGTACAGTAACTGTGCACTTATTTAGTACTTGCTAATACAGGTACTAAATAAACGCACAGTAACAACTGTGAAGTAGCATCTCGTGTAGATGCACTCACTGTGTATGGCCTTTAACCTTAGGTGATTTGGCATCCTTCAAATAAACTATTTCTCTGATACGTAGAACTTTATGCAGGTGGTATTAGTGTTGTTTTGTGGCTGACTGATAGAAGCAGATTGGGCTTCAGTGCTAGCCATCATTCATTCCTTTAGAACTGAGCTGGGGTCAGGTTTTTTGTTTATTGTAGTTGAGTTTTTTTTCCATGGCATTTTCACTAGGGAACAATTTATGTGAAAAGATGGATGGGAAAAAGAAGGGTTTGAAAAAGCTGTATTTTTAGTTAGCCCCTCCACATTTGGAAGTGTTGCTTTAAAAAAAGTATTTTTTTTTATTTAAAATGTCACAAATATGTAATTGTAAAAAGAATGCTGTCTCTTATCTTGGATTATTTCCTAAATGGGAAGAAATATACAGACACAAACCCTTAGACTGACCCTTCAATTTACAACAAATTCCTCAGAGCAGTATGAAAGACTAGAACATAATGACCATTATTTACACACACACTCACATGCACGCACATGCGCACACGCGCACGCACACAGAAACACACTTTTATATGCTAGTTATGTGTTCAACTATGTGTTGATAGCATACTTCTGTCTTGTATACATTCAGGATTTTATAGTTTACTCTTTTTTTGTGAAACTGTGCTACATAAGGGTAGGTGATGATGTGCTTGGAGGCAGCTATATTAGCTGATGTTGTTCAAGCCAAAAGTCCAAGAATCTGCTGCCAGATTCCTTCTACATAAATTATACGCCTGAGGTTAAACATCTAAATCTGGTTACCAGGGTCAGCCTGGGAAATGAGAAGAAACATGGATTTGACTCTCAAAGCTAAAATTAATTTCAAGTACTGTCACTGTGGAACATATAGTGAATTCTTGATTTATCATAGGTGCAGTTTGTCCTTCAGGTTGAGATATACATTTAGTTTGTTTGCTCCTTTCTCACTTCTCTGGTTGAAACTCGTGCAGTCTCAACAGTTGCTGTAATTTACTGCCACTTGCAGTGTCATTGCCCTTTCAATAGTGCTTTTTCTGGGTCTGTTCTTGTGTCTTCCTGGCAGAAAGATTGCTAGGTTTTCCAAAAACAAACAAACAAACAAAACCCGAAACCTGTTTTTTTTTGTTTTAAGAACAAGAATGCGTCTCTTGTGGAAACCACATGCAGTCTCAATCAAGACTTGGGCTATGGCATATATTTGGTTGCATATAGTCCTGTGAAAATATCATCCTGGCACCCAAAACATTTCATGCACAGATTTCCATTGCCAGTGGTTACATCCTGTTGTAAATATGCCATCAAGTGATTTTTCTGTTTGAAACTAGTGTGATTTTTTTTGTGGCATGATTTAAAGAAAGTGTAGGTTACGCAAAGTCCATCTGTGGTTTATGCTGGATATTAAACCCATGTAAAACAGTGTATATATATCCTGTCCCATATAAGCAACTATGTTTTAGCAACATATGTTTTACTGTTTTGTTGGTAAAGAACAAGGATTTTGGAAATTTAGTTTGGAGGCTGTATTTATTGCATTGTATGTTGCAACCTTGCATTAAGTCCAATTTGGCTGACATAACATCAAATGACATGTTATATTTCTGGCTAATCAGACAACAGATTACTATTATATGCTCAAATTTGCTATCAGAATTCAGTGTAGGGACACACAATTTATCTAGTAGTCCATTGTACCTTAGCAGCCTTGCCTCAAGGGACTAGGCATTGCTCAGCCTTTCTCTGCCATCTCTCTTCCTCCTAGTGGTGTGGGGGGAAATGCTAATCAGCAGTAACCAGATTTTCAGACATGCTGAGCATCAATAACTTCAAAATTAATATCAGCTGACTGAGCACAGCATATTTAAAAGTCATGGTGACTGGTATGATGATGGGTGCTTTACAACAGTGTTCATTTCTTGACTCAAGACCCACTTGCTGGCTGCCAGTTGGCTGTGTAAATGAAAGCAGAAGTAAAGTTGTCTCCTACTGTAGCACTAGGAGTTATAAAATAGCCCAAGTGTAACCACTAGGTGTGCCTGAGTTTCTGCTGTCTCTCAGCTTCATTTTCTGCCAACCACATCAAGAAGAGAGAGTTAATTTGCCAACTAACCTCACTTTAATAGGAAAGGAGGAAGAGTGTATGTACTGCTTGCCTCATCTACAGGGGCACTGAAAAAGGAGACTCTTGACTGGTGATCCTCACATTCTTTTGCTGTTTGGTTTGTCTGTGTATTGAGATCATAAGATCCTGTGTCAAGGCTCAGTATTTGGTGGCTTGCACAGCACTGAGCACACTCTTGGCATTTAACATATAGACATGAATAATGTCAGTAGCTTTTAGACACAGTGGTCAGTTTGAACTGGTAGCTATTATCTAACCCCAAGCACCCCTCAGTCAGCCTGTAACTATCCAGAGGCTCCATGGTATATTCCACTGAATAAGTATATCTCTTGAGCTCTTGGTTGAATAAAAGATATCACCTCTACCACAAGTTCTGATTTCTCTTGAGTGTTGGTTTGTATGCTCTTTTTGTGAGAGACAGCACAAGCTAAAAAAAAACCCAAATCAATAGTGTTTCTTGTTTACTCAAACTAAACATGTCTTGTAAGTATCTAAGTATTATATCATTTCTTTTGTTGGAAATATTTTGAATATGGGAACCTGATAATAAGACGATTCTTTAAGAAGCCTCTATGTTTTGCAATCACTAAACAAGCAGAATCACACTACATGCAGCTTCTACATCAGTCACTTGTCAGATGCCATTTGAATTAGTCACTGGACTGTGTCATGTAAAATATATTGTCTTGCTGCCTATGGAGCGTAGTACAACCAAGATTAGACTACTTAGATGTTAAGGAAGCTGGGGTATATTTGTTGCAAAAATGAGATTTTTGAACTAGTAGAGGTGATGAAAGGGATTGCTGCATCTGATAAGTAGTTCAGGAACCTAACACAAGTAGGAAAATCAGAGTAAATGGGAATCTTGGGCAGAATAGCTCATGAAGAGGGTAATAACATGGGATAAGTTCCCAAGGAAAGCAACTGAAAAAAAAAAGTATTAATGGATTTAAGAAAAATATAGATTTGTTTTTGGAGAAAAGGGAGAGACATAGGAAAATCAGATTTATTTTAAAGACGCGCGAGTTGAGCTTAATTGGACTTTCCATGTACCTGAAAGTATTTGCATTGGATCCTCAGCTGATTTAAATCAACATAGCTTCATAATACCAATCAAGTCAATGGATAACAGATGAGGATTTGGCCCCTTTATGTTTTAAAACATGTAATATTAAGCAACTGTTGCTAAAAATGGAACATGCTAAATTAAAGGAATGTTTCCCGGGCCAAGTAGAGATAAGAACATTTTCTAATAAGACAATGTCTGTTTTGCTTTGTTTTGTTTTTATGTGTTTGCTTCTGCTATATTAATTTAATCCTTGAATGGAAGGAACAATGTATCTAATCTAGTTTATGTATGTATATAAGGGCCCAGGGCTCTGTGCGTTCGTGTAATATTTTGGAAGAAAATGTCAAAGTTGTCTATGGAAAAAATCCCTTTCATGTGCAGATTGAACCAACAGGCATCTAATGGTTAAATGTGCATGCAGGGACACTGATTTGTAAGCAAGTGTAGTCTTATATGCCAAGAAATTTACTGGTTTCTGATGCAGTCTTAGTGGCTGAATGTAAATTTGCCCTTTTAGCTTGCTGAGCTTTAAGAAAAGACAGACTTTAATACTGAAGGACAGACTTCTCAATTTTTATTTTATTTTTTTTGCTATATATGCAAGTCTGCAGTTTAAAAACAAGTAGCATTTTTGTTTGTAAATGTACATTTCCCTAAGCAATTCCAAGACTTGGCTGCACAAACTGAATATGATGATTGTTGATGATGATAGTAATAGTAATGATAATTATTATAAAAGTAATAATAACAGTAGTAATGATAATAATTATGATTATTTTTAATGGCTTAGAGGAAATCTAACTCCTCTCTTTTGTTTCCAAATAGATTTCACTGGGTGGCCTTAACCTGGTTTTTTTAGTGTTGCTATCCTAGATCTCTAGCCTTGTGGTCCATAAGACAGAAGTTTCATTCAGAGGGAAAAAAATCTCATCAACTCAGGGCTTAAGACCATATATCTTGGATGGACTTTTTTCTTCTACTTTTCTTTTCATTCCCCTGCCTTCACCCTTGTCTCTTTCAGTCACTGTTCTGGCTAAGGGCTTTATATAGAATAGCTGCTAAAAGTTGCTGGTGAGAAAAGCACATTTGTCAATAAGTTTTGACAATTTTACATCGTTTTTACGAAGAATGAATGAAGATAGGTTATATATTCCTAGCATAAAAGGATATATCTAGTTTGGCACTTGGCCACAGAAGTATTGATTAAACTCTGAGGATCATATTCTGCTTTAATGTATGCAGGTAAGTGTAAATCTGGAGTCAGCTGAGTTATTGATGTAAAACTAGTTTGAGTGAAAGCCCAATTAAGGCTCTAAGTTTGTCCAATGGTTGCACAGTCTTGGTGAGCAGACCAGGAGTCTGGTGACCTGAATTCTAGTTGCAGCTGGGTGATGATGGCCACTTGCTGCATTTCTCTGTGCCCAGGCATAATAGCTCTTACGATTTTTCATTACTCTTCTGATATTAGATGTTTTTCTCTTAAAGCCCTGGTCTCCAGGCTGAGAGAGAATCTCATTTTTCATTATAAATGAACAGGCAGGTTCTAACCCTCCTAATTTCAGAGAATGGCTTGCAAATTGCATGAAAAAAAGAAGGGGGAAAGAACTCACTTGTTTTAAAACCTTATGATTTTAACTTAATCTTATGGTGAAGGGGGGAGGGGGAAAGAAGGTACGTAATTATTGATGTTTTGTATACTTGCAGTTGATGATAATAATGATGTCTCACTTCATCTGTTAAGAATGTGAGCTCTTTATACTAGGAACTGTCTCTTTGGATTTGTAAAATGCCTCACAAAAGCCTCAAATGCAGCTGTGGGCAGTAGCATGATCGTGAGTAGGTGAGCAGGGCATGAGTCCTGCCTGCTGCCTATGGGAGGGAGGTGCTGGAACAGAGCTAGGGGGACTTGTCCTTCTGTTCTTCCCTTCCAACCTCACCCCAGCATCCTCACATCTTACCTTCAGTAGCTCTGGCCCTGACATTAGGGAAGGTAGGGAAGTGGCACAGAACCAGAGGGAGATGTCACCTTGTTTTTATAGCTGAAAACCAGTGAGGTTTTTAGCCACACAACATGCGTGTTGGCAGTCAGAAAGGAGTGATATTTCCCCCAGAAGCTGTTATGGGTGGATCCAGGATCATGGTTAGAGGGAAGAGAGCTCAGTGCACATGTGAAACATGCCAAAGGGGGTGTGACTACACCCCCATCTGTGATGATGGATGTCAGTGAGCTCTCTGAGCTCACCAGCTGTTCAGTGTGAGGTCTGGCCAGATTCCTTGCTTTCTCACAGTTCTGGATCTGAGGAAATGAGTACTGCTACTGTTTACCCTTCCTCTCCCTCCTCCTCCCCAAATTCAGCAGCAGGGGATAAGAAGACAAACAGAGGCTGCAATGCTGAGCCCATTTTCATGAAGCTCCTCTGCCTTTTCTCCTTCTTTCCCCTCATGCTGAATTCAGGGTGGGGGCAGAGGGAGGAGAAGGGCAAACAGCTATGGTGCTCACCTCCAGGGTGCCAGAGCTGCATGAAAGCAGCATCTCCAGTCAGATCCTGCACTGACCAGCTGATGAGCTGAGAGAGCTCACAGCACATGCGGAACTGCCAGCAGGAGCTGCGCTGACATGTCAGTGAGTTCAGAAAGTTCACTGTGCATGCGGCACACAGCAGAAGGGAGCTGTGACACACTGCCTCACCCCCTAGAGCTGCCTTTGGCAGCAGTGAACCTCCACCCACTGCTGCTGCTCTTCCTTCCCTGCTGCTGACACCAGGGCCAGAGCCACTTTAAGGACAGTTCAGGGAGGTGAGGAGCAGGGAAGGCAGGGGGTGCAAGGAAATAGTGGGGGCAGGCACAGTATTGCTTGGGGCACAGTACTCAGTTATGCCTCTGGTCACAGCCTTGCATCATTACTATAATGCCAGCAATAGTTAATTATAAAAGTTGTTACTTTTGGAAAGCTATAGCCCATATGAGAATTACTTCCTGCCCCTAACATGAGGAATGCAACTACCCAGCTGGAATACATAATTTCCCTGAAAACTTTTTTTTTTTAAGTGCAGTGGTTGTATCAGTTTAACAAAGGTGAGAGCCTCTTAACTATCTCCACTTTCCATCAGTTTTCTGAAATAGGTCAAAAGAGCAAACATATGATGTCACTAATGTTTGACTGAATAAAAACCTGTACTCCTGCACAGTGTGCTGTCTTTAGAAGATGGAGGAAATCATTTGTAGCCTCTCCTGCAATTATTCTGAAATGTGAATCATAAAGAAGGGCCTATAAATGTTATGAAGTATTTGTGGACATTACTAACAAAGGCCATAAACTTACAGTCCTTCTCTGCCTATGAACTAGGTTGCTCAAGGACTGGTACCATTCAAGCTTTGCATAGCTAGAACATTGCAAGGAATTGTAACTTGCTGCTCAGTGATCAGCTGGTTTTGCTTTAAAATAAGAGATATTTACCTATTCTCCATTTAAAAACTATTCATAGTGCCATAATCTGCTGTGGATTTCCCTTTGGAGGTGGGAGAGAGTGGGGTCACAAGATGCACTGTCCAAGACAAATATATTAAAAAGGATTTTCCTACTTTATTATTCTAAAGTCCATAAGGGTAGGTTTAGCAAGCTATTCTCACATGCCATTCCTCCTGTATTGAACTAATCTACCCTACCCTATAATATATGACTCATGAATCTAGGTACTTTTGTGGCATCTATTACCATAGTATCTGAGCAACTCTCATATTTCTGATGCATTTGTTCTCATAACATACCTAAGCATTAGTCAATGCTATGGCAAAACAGAGACCAGTGCCTCCCAAATTTTAGGCTTGCATCTTAACTTGAAACATTCGTCCTGCTCCACGTGCAATGTATACCAATAGGCTTGAAAATAAAATTAATGTGCAAGTAATTGCAATCCATGGTGGCTACATAAGGTATTTGACCCTGCATTTCATAATTTACTTCCTCATTTACTTAAATTCCAAAGGCCCAAAGTGTAAGAAATGACCTGTCATTCTACATACATTTAAAAGAAACTCTAAAATCTAGCTAAGAGACTTTTGCTCCTCTGTTTCTCTCTTGTCCAGGATACTCCTTCAGCCTGATGACTCCTTGCAGATTCTAGCCCCAGTGGAAGCTGATGTGGGTTTCTACACTTGTAATGCATCCAATGCCTTGGGATCTGATTCTGTCTCCATTGCTGTCACTTTAGCAGGTAACAAGATGTTATTAGTGATTTCAGAATTCTTTATGCTGCACGTAAATTCCTGCAAAACAAGTATAGATGAGTTAGCTCAACCTTTTGGCCCCTGTAGCAGGACACTAACGTGCCTGCTACTCTGAGAGCAGAGGCAGGAACCCAGGTGCCAGTTGCCGTGACAACCGGTTAAGGAGGAATTGGCTGCACCTTGCACCTGGTTAGCTGACCGGAAGGGGCAGGGCTGGGCTGGGCTCCCATATGAATCGCAGGCCTGAGGCCAGGAGATCAGTTCCCTCCTGGCAGCCAAGGAGGAAGGGAGCTCTGCCGGAGGAAGCAGAGGGGAGAGGCCAGACTGCACAAGCAGCTCCTGATGCTGTTATGGGATGGAGTAGGGATTGAATGATATTTTAGCTGGGTGACTTGGAGTTTTGTTATAGCCCAGGGGCTTGTGTTTTGTGTTTTGCTTTTTCACTGGAGATTTAGGTGAGGCTATTGGGATTGGAGGATAGGGGACCCACGGCAGCATGGGAACGCCAGCCCCAGAGAGAGGGGCCAGCGAGAAGCCCCAGAAAGAGAGGGCGGTGAGAAGCCTCACAGAGAGTGGGCAACGGAGCACCAAGAAGGCGTGGAGCAAGACAGAGCAAGACAGGGCTGTGGAAAACCCAGGGAAGACAAGGGGAGGGCCAAATTACAACAAGGTCCAAATTAAACCATGTCAGTATCATCTGCGAGGCTTGGGCTTCGGTGTAGAGGAGGAAAAGGAGCTGCAGATACTGCCCCCTGGCACTGGGGCAAATAAATAGGCAGCTAATTAACAACCATTAATTAATTAAGAAGGCATGGCAGACAAGAAGGCAGGCGGTTGGCCCATAACAGGAGGGTGGGGTCACTGATAGACGGACTCCAGAAGAGAGACTCCTGTCACAATGGTGCATTGTGGAAGTTTTATACGGCAGTATGCATCATAGGACGCTGGTTTGCCAGTATGAAGAAAGGAACCCTTGTGTCCATGGGAAGAGAGATATGAGAACAGATGCTAATCCCGGACCCAGAGTCATGGCAACAAGTTTTGGATCAGCTACATCAATCAGTACAAGGCCTACTGGATCACAGGTGAAACTGAACAATCTCCCCCCGAACAAGAGGCTGAACAAGGGGTGGATGTCACCCATTTGTGGGAAGACGAACATTTCCAGTTGGAGAAGAGTCGGGAGACAGATTTTTGGTGCGCGTTGCAGGAACACCTAACCCAACGAAATAGCAAGATATTGAGACTGGAGCTGATGAAGACTACCCCGAGGTTTGAGGTAAGAAATGACCTCCTATACCAAATCAAGCAAGGGAAGCCTGAAGGAGGGGAGGTCGTACAGTTGTTGGTACCTCAGTAATATCAACGGGCCTTATTGAAGGTGGCTTATGAACTCCCTGTGGGTGGACATTTGGGCGGGGACAAAACTGAAGCACGGATTTGGATAAGATTTTTTTGGCCAGGATTGTTGTAGGAAGTGACGAGGTATTGTGCTTCATGTCCCGTGTGCCAGAAAGTGAACCCAAGGCACCCCCCAAAGGCTCCTTTAATTCCAATGCCTCTGGTCGAGGTTCCCTTTGAGAGGGTGGTGGTGGACATTGTGGGGCCACTTCCCCGAAGTAGCACCGAAAGCAGTACATACTAGTTTTACTGGATTATGCAACCCGGTACCCGGAAGCTGTGCCAATGCAGACAGTGTCCGCGCCAAAGGTGGTGAATGAACTTTTGAAGATATTCTCCCAAGTAGGACTCCCTAAAGAACTACTGATTGATCAGGGAATGAATTTTACATCACACGTGTTCGAGGGAGTGAGTAAAGTTTTGGGGATTATTGTTATTGTTTGCTGTAAGAGAGGCACCCCAGGCCTCAACTGGGTTTTCACCCTTTGAATTATTTTGCGGCCGGCAACCAAGGGGAATCCTGGATCTGATTAAAGAGAGTTGGGAAGAACAGCAGAGTAAAGGCCAGAACATCATCCAATACGTGATCCAACTGCGGGAATGCCTTGAAGCAGCTCAGAACATGGTTTTAGGAAATCTCAGAGAAGCCCAGCAATGACAAGTGAGACATTACAACCAAGGCACCCAGGAAAGGAAGCTTGACATGGGGGACCGTGTGTTGGTGCTATTGCCGGACGGTGAGAGTAAGTTACTTGCCCGGTGACAGAGACCCTATGAAATCATACGCCAAGTGGGGCCCATGGACTATGAGGTGTACCAGACAGATAAGCAGAAAAAGAAGCAGGTATACCATGTTAATATGTTGAAGTGGGAAGACAGGGAGTGTATGTACTTAGCCTCTCATCCCAAGGAATTAGAATTGGGACCCACGTTAACAGAGGGAAGTGGACCAGGTGACGTAGAATTGGCCCCGTGACTGTCAGAAGAACAGAGAAGACAGGCCGCTGAGCTAGTCAAGGAATATACAGATGTGTTCCAGGGAGCCCCTGGGGAAGCTCAGGGTGTGGTACACCGGATAAAGACTCCTCTGGACCAGGTGATCCATGAGAACTGGAGACGGATTCCCCAGCAACTTCAAAGCCAAATAAAAACAGATTGCAATGATGCTACAGAAAGGTATCATATGTGAATACTGGCAGAGCCCCATCATAGCAGTACCTAAACCCGATGGAAAAATCCGTCTCTGTATCGATTTCCGAAAGGTGAACGCAGTGGCTAAGTTTGATGCCTATCCGATGCCGAGAGTGGACGAACTGGTGGAAAACATCGGGCAAGCTTGCTACATTTCCACTGTAGATCTGACAAAAGGTTACTGGCAGGTTCCCAATTGTGCCCAAAGATCAAGAAAAGACAGCATTCGCCACCCCATGGGGTCTCTTCCAGTTCCAACGCATGCTGTTCGGGTTACATGGAGCCACGGCTATGTTTCAGTGGTTAATGGACAGAGTTTTGGTTCCCCATGGGGGTTACGCCACAGCCATACATTGATGATATTATTATATAGACTGAGAACTGGGCTGAACACCTCACCTCACTGAGAGCAGTTGTGCAAGACTTGAGAAGGGGCAGGCTGACAGCCAATCCAAAGAAACGTACGATAGAAAAAAAGGAAACACAATACCTGGGGTTCCTAGTAGGAAGTGGGAAGGTGAGACCTTTGTTGAGCAAAGTGGAGGCGTTGCGAAGATATCAAGCACCTCATAGTTAAAAAACAAGTGAGGGCTTTTTTGGGGCTAGCCAATTATTATAGAAAGTTTGTACCTCACTTTGCGGATTTAGTAGTGCCTTTGATGGAGATGATAAAAGCAGGGGCTCCAACCAAAGTGAGGTGGACGCCGGAGGCGGAGAAGGTGTTCCAAGTGGTGAAGGATGCACTATGCTTACAACCACTCCTATATACCGGATTTTAATAAACCTTTTCTGGTGCAGACCAATGCATCAAATGTGGCTATCAGAGCAGTATTGGTTCAGAGAGAAAGAGGAGAAGAGCGCCCTATAGCCTACATAAGTAGGAAATTACACCCACCAGAACGAAGTTACGCCACGATAGAGAAGGAGTGTTTGGCAATTAAGTGGGCTATTGAAACACTCCAATATTATTTGTTAGGGCAGCGGTTCACGCTGATCACCAATCACACGCCCCTACGCTGGTTGCAGAGCATGAAAACGGACAATGCAAGACTGATGAGATGGGCCTTTAGTCTGCAACCATATTGCTTTGAGTTAAAGCATCACCCTGGAACCCAGAATATAAATGCCAATTTCTTCTCAAGACAATATGAGGAAGAAGAGGGGCTAGGAGAAACAAAGGGATTCTGGATGAGAGAGAAGAGCGGGGGGTTGGTAAGAAGGAACCCAAACCTTGTTACTAAGAGGCAGGGTGACCCCTCCAAGTCTGGAACCTTCCAGGCAGGGCCAGCCAGTCGGGCAACAGGAGAAGGAATTTCAAGATCTTACAGATGGTGGAGAAGGACAGAGGGGTGGCAGAGAGATGGGCTCCCAACAACTACGGTAATATGCCTGCCGTCTTGGTCAGAAGGATATGCCATGCCCAGAGCCATCCTCACGATCATTTCAAAGCATAGAGAAAAGACAGGCCTAAGTGGCACCCTACCAAGACTGGCTAATGTGGGGGGGAATTACCTGTGTCAGGGTAACTCCCACAAAATCCCACATGGTGCAACCTTGGGGAAAAGGCGAGTAGGAGGCGCCTGAAAACCTCCACCTCCCGAGTTACCAGGTGACTGAAGAAAGGCTGAGAGAAGCCCAGGACCAGGGCTGTACCTGCAAAATGTGAGGACCCACCCAGGTGAGTGAGGGCCTTAACGGGGGAAGGTGTATAGCAGGACACTAAGGTGCCTGCTACTCTGAGAGCAGAGGCAGGAACCCAGGTGCTGGTTGCCATGATGACTGGTTAAGGAGGGAATTGGCCACACCTTGCACCTGGTCAGCTGACCAGAAGGGGCAGGGCTGGGCTCCCATATGAATCGCAGGCCTGAGGCCAGGAGTTCAGTTCCTTGCTGGAAGCCAAGGAGGCAGGGAGCTCTGCCAGAGCAAGCAGAGGGGAGAGGCCTGACTGCACAAGCAGCTCCTGATGCTGTTATGGGATGGAGTATTCTCTGGTAGAGATTGAATGATGTTTTAGCCGGGTGGCTTAGAGTTTTGTTATAGCCCAGGAGCTTGTGTTTTGTGTTTTGCTTTTTCACCAGAGGTTTGGGTGAGGCTATAAGGGGTTGGAGGAGGCCTCATAGGGGACCTACAGCAGCATGGAAACTCCAGCCCCAGAGAAAGAGGGTGCAGCAAGAAGCCCCAGAGAGAGAGGACAGCGAGAAGACCCAGAGAAAGAGGGCAGTGAGAAGCCTCACAGAGAGTGGGCAGTGGAGCGCCAGGAAGGCGCAGAGCAAGACAGGGCTATGGAAAGCCCAGGGAAGATGAGGGGAGGGCCAAATTACAACAAGGTCCAGATCAAAACACATCAGTATCATCTGCGAGGCTTGGGCTGTGGTGAGGGGAGGAAAAGGAGCCG